ATGGGCTCATAATTTAGTGGTTCTGCATTTCATTTTCTATACTAATTGTACAAGAAACAGATTTCATGCTGGTCAAATGTCACTTTATTTGATCTTGTTTTGTCATACAAGACATACATTTACAATTAAGGACTAATGTACAGTATCCAGCCATATTAATCCTGCATAAAATGTCCACACTGCATCTTAAGTCATATGGATACACACACTCTTATGTACACTTGTGTCCGTATGAGGTGAGATGTGTAAATTCTGCGCCTGCACTGCTGCCACTGATTAAACACTAAGGCTCCTTTACACTTGCTTTGACTTTAACACATATGAAAGTGTCTACCTCTTCAAAGAGCTTTTTTGATGGTTCTGTGATGTTTTGGTGATGCTTTTTTGAAGCTTTAATATAGCTTGGCAAATGCCCTGTGTGTGTTGATTTCTGGTTTGTTTTACAGGGGCTCAGTAGAACCCCAGCTTATTAGTACCCCCACTCAGCAGATTCCCAGCTCATTAGTACCCCCACTCAGCAGTTTCCCTGATAATTAGTATCCCTGTGCAGCAGATCCCCAGCTCATTGGTACCCTCATTCAGCAGATACTCTGCTAAGTAGTAACCCCAGCTCTGCTGATGCCCCACTCAGTAGTACCCCCAGTTTTGCTGATTCCTCACTGAGCTGTAAACCCCAGCTCAGCTGATGGTCCTGCTCTGTAGCAACCCCCAGCTCTAATGATCCCTCACTCAATGGCAACCCCCAGCTCTGCTGATTCCTCACTCAGTAGTAACCCCCCGCTCTGCTGATCCTCTTCTCTCTGGGGCCCCGCTTACCTCCTGCTATATTGCTCCCATGCTGCACACCATGTGTGACATTGCTAGTTTCTCCTGCTAAGGTCCCCTAGCTCTGCTGATCCTCTGCAGCTCAGTCCTCTCTCACTGGTCCCTGCTCACCTTCCACTATAGCAGTGGTCTCCAAACTGTGGTCCTTTGATTGCCTTTATCTGGCCCTTGGGGCACTATTCCACCAACTGAAACCAATGATGGAGCACCATTCCCCCTACTGACACCATCACTGGGGCACTGTTCTTCTCATTGATATCAACAATGGGGCACTATTCCTCCCATTACAACCAATGATGGGGCACTTTTGCCAGGGCATTTTCTACTCCCACTGGCCACAGTCTGGCCCCCCTACAGCCTGATGGACAACAACCTGGCCCTTTGCTTAGAAAGTTTGGAGACCCCTACACTATAGTGTTCCCATGCTGCACACCATGTGTGCCGTCTGCTAGTTGTTCCACTCCCACCCAGATGCCGCTCACCTTCTTGCTGCTCCACGCTGCACACTAGATGTGACATCTGTATCACATGCTTCCAGAATATATACACATGAACTAGAAGTGACTGCTGATAACATCTTTCCAGTTTGCATGTTGGTTTCCCAGTACATCCTGGGATATCTCATACCTGCAATATGTCCAAAACAAAATGAAACTAAAGCTGAATAAAAGCCTCTCAAAAGCTGCAGCTGCTGTTAGCGAGCTTTGTCATAGACTTCTGTGTAGACTTTGGAGATGCTTTGAAGCACCATGACAGCAACACTGAACAGATTCCTCGCTGCGCAGAATACACTGATCAGTGCTGCAGCCAATTGGCTATATGCGCTGATCAAATGAAAAATTTCCAACAGTTTTGTTTGAAAGAAGCCGATCAATTTATCTTGAGCGGGAACCACCATAGACAGATCGAAATTCGACTGGTCCCTGCGGAACAGGACAGTTTTCCGATCCATCCATGGCCAAGTTGACACCTTCCTGTTGGATAATTATACAAATAGCATTTGATTGCATGTAGGCCTTTGTTCACTACGGTTACCAGAACACAAGGGCCTTAAGGCTCCTTAAACAACAGTTTTTGCTGCCGTTTCATTCCAACATATGCAGATCCTTCTCTCCCAGTCTCTAAGATGAAGTCTGAGCTCCATAGATGCATCTCTTTCCTTTTTTTCAGAATTATGGGAATAATGAGAACTCTTATTTAATCACTTCAATACAGAGCACTTTTACCCCCTTACTGCCCAGGCCAATTTTCAGCTTTCAGCCCTTTGAATGATGATTGCGCGGTCATGCAACACTGTACCCAAACTATATTTTTATCATTTTGTTCACACAAATAGAGTTTTCTTTTGGTGGTATTTAATGACCACTGAGTTATTTTCGCTAAATAAACGAAAAAAGACTGAAAACTTTGAAAACAAACGTTTTTCTACATTTTAGTTGCAAATAAATAATTGTTCTTCATAAGTTTAGGCCAAGCTGTTTTCTGGTACATTTCTTTGGTGAAAATAACCCAAATCTGTGTTTATTATTTAGTCTGTAAGATAGTTATAGAGTGCAAAAATGATGGCATATATCTGAAAATCGATCAATCCTGATGTACTGACGGCAGATCTAATTTCTTTAGGCCCAAAAATGTCAGGACAGTACAGATATCCCCCAAATGTTCACTTTTTGAAAAGCAGACAGTCTGAAGTATTTATTAGGAGGCTTGACAAGTTTTTTGAAGTTGTAATTTTTGTCATAATTGTAAGCATTTTTTGTACTGAAAGTTCTGCTCCCAACAGTTACTGGAAAGCTCCCAATGCCTACTTGCAATCAGGAGCTTTCCAGTCGTGACCGCTGTGACTGCCAATCATTCCCAGCATTTGGAAGCTTTTAAAAGGCCAGGAAGCGGCGGCAGGAAGAAGTTAACAAGAGGCCTCTCATTTTTCAAGTGAGTTATGGCTTAAATGATATCTTAAGCCATCTGTCTCATTAGGGAGATTTCCATTCACTTCCTGTTCTGTAAACTCAACAAGAAGTAAGCAGGTATCTTTCCAAAATAAGGGAAATCCCCTCTTAGATAGTTGTCCCTGGAACAAGTGGAACAATTGGAAGATTTCCCCTCTCTTCCTGTTCTGGAGGCAACTCAGCATTTTGCGTTTTCCTTCACTGTTATTCCCAGTGACATTGGTGATCAGGACAACTGAGGAGAATGAACCTTCCTAATGAGGGACACAAACAGCAATAACAACCTGACAAATGATCTAACCCCACACCACTCTATTCAAATAAAAAATGTTGGCTTTAATTCTGCCTTAAAGCAGAACTCCACCCAAGAATATTGCCCAATGGGATTATTGGTATCAATGGTATCAATGGGAAGAATATTGCCCCATTATTGGTATCAATGGGAAGAATAATGCCCCATTATTGGTATCCATGGGAACAACAGTGCCCCACTATTGGTATCGATGGGAAGAATAGTGCCCCACTATTGGTATTGCTGGGAACAATAGTGCCCCATCATTGGTATCCATGGGAACAATAGTGCCCCATCATTGGTATCCATGGGAAGAATAGTAGCCTATTATTGGTATCAATGGAAATAATAATGCCCCATTTTTGGTATCAATGGAAGGAATACTGCCCCATTATTGGTATCAATGGGAAGAATAATGCCCCATTATCGGTATCGATGGGAAGAATAGTGCCACATTATCATGGTATCGATGGGAAGAATAGTGCCCCATTATTTGTATCAATGGAGGGAATAGTGCCCCACTATTGGTATCGATGGGAAGAATAGTGCCCCACTATTGGTATCGCTGGCATGGAACAATAGTGCCCCATCATTGGTATCCATGGGAACAATAGTGCCCCATCATTGGTATCCATGGGAACAATAGTGCCCCCTCATTGGTATCCATGGGAAGAATAGTGGCCTATTATTGGTATCAATGGGAAGATAATTAGTGCCCTATTATTGGTATCAATGGAAATAATAGTGCCCTATTATTGGTATCAATGGAAATAATAGTGCCCTATTATTGGTATCAATGGAAAAAATAGTGCCCCATTATTGGTATCAATGGAAAAATACTGCCCCATTATTGGTATCAATGGAAGGAATACTGCCCCATTATTGGTATCAATGGAAGGAATACTGCCCCATTATTGGTATCAATGGAAGAATAGTGCCCCATTATTGTATCAATGGAAAGAATAGTGCCCCATTATTGTATCAATGGAAATAATAGTGCCCCATTATCATTATCGATGGGAAGAATAATGCCCCATTATTGGTATCAATGGAAGAATAGTGCCCCATTATCTGGTATCAATGGAGGGAATAGTGCCCTATTATCTGTATCCATGGGAAAGAATAATGTGCCCCATTATTTGTATCAACGGTATCCATGGGAAGAATAGTGCCCCACTATCAGTATCGATGGAAAGAATAGTGCCCCACTATCGGTAGCCATGGGAAGAATAGGGCCCCACTATCGGTAGCCATGGTAAAAATAGGGCCCCACTATTGGTAGCCATGGGAAGAATAGGGCCCCACTATCGGTAGCCATGGGAAGAATAGGGCCCCACTATCGGTAGCCATGGGAAGAATAGGGCCCCACTATCGGTAGCCATGGGAAGAATAGGGCCCAATTGATGCTGTCAGTTGGTGGAATAGTGCCCTAAGGGCCACATCTGGTGATCACTGCAATACACTATTAAAAACTGCAGTTTCATTGTAATGTAATTCCATCCATCCTAGCACATGGATGATGACATTTCATCGGCAGATCTTGGTGATTTCTTGATGATTCTAGAATCTCTCACATTCCTCCCTCCCTCTATGAGGAATCCCCTTTCCTTTGCTGGGTCATGCCGACATCACAAAATAGAGCGGCCATGTTCTTCCCGTGTCATGTGAAAACAATGTATGGGCGTGGCCAGACCGTGTACGACAGATATGGCGTGGGCGGGCCCAGGGCTGACAGCTGCCCACGGTGAGGGGCGGAGTAATGAGGCAGCGGCCGGTGGGCGGAGATTTTCTGTCCAGGCTGTTTATATGCGGAGCTCTCCGGTCACTGGAGACAAGTCACGGGGTTCGGCCAGTCGGAGAGACGTGTTCGGTGATACTGACAATTCCAGCTGCGACATCCAACCAGGAAGAGAGAGATCCGTACAGCCGCCACTATGTCGGTCACTGTGAAGGCCTATCTGCTGGGAAAGGACGAGAACCACAAGGAGATCAGACGATTCGGCCTGGAGCTGGCCAAAGGGAAGTCTGCTGCTCTGGTCTCCAGCTGTGAGCTGCTCATCAGGAAGGTGACTGAAGTCTTTCAAGGCCTGAGAGGGGGAGCCTTCCAGATGTTCTACAGAGGTGAGCACATATCCCCCATCATAGACCCACAGCCACCCTGTCCCTTCATGTCATCAACTGGAAAAGATCTTCTGTAGAAGATCACCCTAAACTTTAGGCGCTATTGCCCAGCGCATAGACCAGGCGTTGCGCCTTATATCCCATTGGTCCAGTTCACATTGACTCGCTGAAAAAACAGGAAACGTAGAACAGGTGACACTGCGCAGCATGTTGAGAGTGAAATGTCATTTTCTGCTATTTCAATAAAGTTAGGAAAGTAAACTCATTTTAACAATGTATCACACCCTACAGCACACAACAGGGGTGTACATCCTACCTGCTGCTGTGAATGGGCCCCTTGTTCACACCATATTCTTTGGGCTATGTTGGTCAGTGACCATGTTAAATGTATATGTAAACTCTCACCTTGACAGGCCTCGTTCACACTATGGCGCAGAAATATCAGGGCACAACAAAATCAATAGTTCTCTATGTGCCCTGTTCACGCCACCACACTAGTATCACATGCAAAAAAAATCTGCAATGTGTATAAGGCCTCATGCACACAGAGCATTTTTGCTGCCACTTTTAGGGACGTCAGGCGTTTTGATTTTTGTTTTGTTTTGTTTTTCTGCTTCCAAACAGCCCTCCATGTTATCCTATTTGTACATGCACACATAGACTTTTTGAAGCTTTTGGTAGTGTTTACCAGCAGGAAGAAAAACCCCAGGGCCACTGTGTACAGGAGCAGCAGCGTTTTGGCAGGAAAAAATGCTTGGCACGTGTAAACGCATCTAAGCACGCATTAACGCTAGGCACGTTTAGCGCTTGAGCATTCATTTGTTTCAATGGCCAGATAAAATTATTATTCTGGCCAATGAAATGATATAACGCCCAAGCGCTTGACGCTCGTAAGCGCACCTAAACACTTGTAAAAGCGTTAGACACTTTGACAAGCGTCAGGCGTTTAGTCTGCCAAAATGCCAAGAGGAGGAGCAGTTTTTAAAATGTCCTGTGTGCATGAGGCCTAAAACTCATTGAAGTGCATGAAAAGTGATGTAAACTGATGTCTCTGCAAGTGAAATCTGCACGTCACTTTACATCAGTTTTTCTGCAGGTATGTGAACGAGGCCTTAAACAACCCATTCAGTTTAAAACAGGTAAAACATTTGTGTATAGATATAAAAAACATTTTAAATATGATTTCCCCTTTTTTAAAAGTGATCACATTTCTCTGTTCTCAGCTGCTTAGAAGGGGGGCACACTGATTTTCTCAGTGAATGGCTGTGCAGGGAGGGCATGTCAGGACAAGTCTCATCATTGAAGGAAAGCAGGCTGAGTTCCGAGCACAATCAGAAAACTGACCACGCTGTGCTCTCCTGCCTAGTGTTGTCAGTTTTCTTAGGAAAGCAGAGAGACTGGCAGGAACACCAGGTATTTCACACAAAGGAAGCAAGACAAAGTGAGCAGGAAACTTTTTCCTACAAGTACATGGTACAGCATTTTTACACAGTTGCAGCACATTGCTTTGTAGACCTGCATTAGGTAAATAGGTTGTAATGTGAAAAAAAGAAAAACCACAGAGCACACAAAAACGCATCATATCCCCAGCTCATCTCAACACATGACATGCTGCGGTTTGAACCTACCCTTAGGGCCCATTCACATCATTGCTATGCTGCGTGCTTTTTGCATGCATTGATGCACTGCAGTACCATTTAATGCATACTTCCAAAATGCATGGCATCCTGTGTGCTGCGATTAAATGCAGCCTGCCCCATTTCACATGCGTTTCGGCCTGTTTATTTTTAATGGACCATTTAGCACACTGCCCTTAGATCTCATTCACACTAATTCATTTTATAGGTGTGCTGGAAAAAAAGCCTCCCAAGGTGTGTTTTGGTACATCTCCCAGTCTTTCCGTTTAGGGTTCATGTACACTACAGCTGATAAACTGACGTTCAGGAGCTTTTCTGCGTTTTTTTTCCAGCAGCCCCTGAACTCTCCCTAATGTCTTCCTGTGTGTCCATGTACACTGTTGTTTACAGGCAGTTGAGTTTACAGTAGTTTTTTTTTTAATGCACCAAACTTGCGTTCAGGAGTAGATTTTATCAGCGTTCAAACACTTGTAAACGCGGCTAACCGCGTTTATAAGCGTTTGCGTTTAGAAGCGGTTTTTAATTGTTTCATATCCAAATGCTGTTCATAGCCTTTTTTCACCATCAGAAATGCATGCAAAGCGTTTTTCATGTATTCAAATAGACCCAGTACACCAGCGCAGTCAGTTCCAGGTTTTGCATGAAGGAAAAAATGGTAGAACGTGCTGCATTATGCTCATGATGGGGTCCATAGTGAATACAACCAGAAAAGACAGGTTATCTCAACACATACAGCTCTCTCTGCTTCTGCTCTCTATTTCTCTCAAAATGCCTGAAATAGTAAATCTTTTACTGTTTTTCAGTGCATTCTGGGCTGATCTCCTGATGTTCTCTTTTAAAAAATGCTTCTAAGCATAAACGTGCATAAACGCAGTATGCAAACGCGGCTAAAGAGATGTTTTTTTTTTTTTTTTAACCTACATTTTCCAGCAGTCCATTTCCATCGTTCAGAAGTGTTTTATAAACATCCCGTATACATGGAACCTTAGATAAACTTAATGTCTATAAAAATAACTTTCTGAAAAGGAGTGACAACACAAATGTGTAATAAACGGAGCCTGTCCAGGTATAAAATATTCTTAAGGTAGCAACCACTCAGAAATAGATCTGTAGAGGTGTCCTTGATCTGGTCCTGGTATAACTAGTAATAGTCACATTCAACTAGACACATTAGGGAAGATTTACTAAAACTGGTGCACTCACTCAACTGGTGCCTCTTGCTTTGGGGCAGGGGGGGCTTCCCCCCCTTAGCACCTTGTCCCCATGTTGGGGGACAAGGGCTTCTTCTGCACAACCCTGGTTGGTGGTTGTGGGGGTCTACGAATCCCCCCAGATCGCACCCCCCCCATGTGAATGAGTACCACTACCCATTTACAAAAAACAACAAAAAGTATAGTTTAAAAATGAGACAGCCTTTGACAAGTCCTTAAAAACAAAAGTAAAAAAAAAAATCGCCCGAAGTAGATCCAATTTCAATCACGATGCCTGCCACCACCGCCAACCCGAAAAAAGGAGAAAAAAAAAAACCACTCCGCTCTCGACGCTGGCTCCCAGCCATCTGACAGCTGTGCCGCGATGAGCGTTTGTAAATACTGTGATAACATCACAGGGGGATTACCCCCGCCCCCTTGTGACGTCATCACGCACTGTGATTGGCCAAAGCATTGTACCTGATCTGTGGTCAGGTGCATAGCTTTGGTCAATCACAATGCACTATCAGGGCGCAGTGCATTGTGTGGCGCAGCGGGCGAACAGCCTGTTGAATGCCCTTACCGTTCATGTGTTCAGCGAACACACAAATGACCAGTGTTCGAGTCAAACTTACATTCGACTCGAACATAAAGCCCATCACTAATCAGTAACTGTACAGCCCGCTCTGTATTCTTTCTCCTCTTGAATGGAGAAAAAAATGCATTATATTTGTTTTCTCCTTTTTCTGGAGAAGCATTTCAACAAAAAAAAAAAGTCAGTAAACTTAATAGTTGTGATTCCCTGGCCTAGGTATCCACTTGATTGGCTGCTGCGGGCCTTTTGCAGTAAGCTAGTGTGCCACTGTAACCAACATAATGATTAGAGGCCCCCTAGTTTTTGTAGAATTTGTCACTAGGGCTGAGCACTGTGACTATCTCATTATTTTTGCAGGCCGTTTATGAATCTGTAAAGTAAAATTTGTTTGTTTAGTAGTTTTTCTGTTCAGGATTTATTCTCAACATTCATGTGTGAGCCAAAAGTAGTGTCATACCAACCGGCAATATAGTTTTTATTCTAAAAACAAGAAAAGGTAACATTACATCCACTAAAAGGAATGTGCCCTTTTGCTGTTTGTTTTTATATTGCTTAGATGTGACAAAGGTGCGGTTAGACAGTGTGTCTAGGGCAAAGGTAACCTCACAGAACTAGGAAAGGAGGGGCTGAATTTGAAGTATAAATATGTTTTTATATAGCAATAATAATAATTAAAAAAACAAACAAAAACACGCACTTATTACTGTATTGCGGGTGCAATGCATTAATTTAATGATGTTGACTGTCCCCATGGAGAAGAATGAGAAGATATTTATATGTCCCATAGCTTCTATGTGGTAGAGCAGAGCCTTGTACTGCTGGAAACCTCACGGATGTGCTCTGGTCCTCTTGCCCCCCCCCTCCTCCACCGCCCCGCCAGGCACCCCCATAGCAAGCCACTTGCTGTGGGGGAACTAGTGCATGCTCACTCCTGCTGTCAGACCTGTAGAGACACAGTACACAGCTTGGTTCAGTCCCCTTCTCTCTCCACAGATTGCATGCAGGTGGAAAACCTTCAGCCTTCAGAACCAATTTAACGTGGAGATATATGCACTCACATCCTGTTGCATCTGGAGACAGAAAGTGAGGGACAAAGTGGTCAATGATTATGTCTAATCAGATAAAAACTTTTAAATTGTCTTTTGGTCTCTAGAAGTGGGGAACTCTTACTGTTGAATTGTTTTTGAAGGTGCAAAATCTGGTACTGTGATCCATTTCCTTTCCAGATCTGTAACCTATATATACTGTGTATATCTAAAAATTTATATTTATTTGTATTTCCAGATGAAGAAGGAGATCTGGTTGCCTTCTCCACTGATGAGGAGCTGAATATGGGTCTTGAAATCCTTAATGAAGGTGTTTTCCGTGTCTACATTAAAGGTATTTGTGTTTTGTAATGCATCTTAAATAACATTATATTATACTACACTATATTGCCAAAAATATTGGGACACCCCTCCAAATCATTGGATTCAGGTGTTCCAATCACCTCCATGGTCACAGGTGTATAAAATCAAGCACCTAGGCACGCAGACTGCTTCTACAAACATTTGTGAAAGAATGGGTCACTCTCAGGAGCTCAGTGAATTCAAGCGTGGTATCGTGATAGGTTGCCACCTGTGCAATAAGTCCATCCGTGAAATTTCCTTGCTACCAAATATTCCACGGTCAACTGTTAGTGGTATTTAACAAAGTGGAAGCAACTGAGAACAACAGCAGCTCAGCCATGAAGTGGTAGGCCGCGTAAAATGACAGTGCGGGGTCAGCGCATGCTGAAACGCACAGTGTGCAGAAGTCGCCAACTGTCTGCAGAGTCAATAGCTAAAGACTTCCAAACTTTGTGTGGCCTTCAGATTAGCACAACAGCAGTGCACAGAGAGCTTCATGGAATGGGTTTCCATGGCCGAGCAGCTGTATCCAAGCCTTAGAGCAATGCAAAGCGTCGGATGCAGTGGTGTAAAGCACAACGCTACTGGACTGTAGAGCAGTAGAGATGTGTTCTCTGGAGTGACGAATCATGCTTCTCTGTCTGGCAATCCGATGGACGTGTCTAGGTTTGGTGGTTGCCAGGAGAACAATACTTGCCTGACTGCATTGTGCCAAGTGTAAAGTTTGGTGGAGGGGGGATTATGGTGTGGGTTATTTTTCAGAGGTTGGGCTTGGCCCCTTAGTTCCAGTGAAGGAAACTCTTAAGGTGTCAGTATACCAAGACATTTTGGACAATTTCAGGTTTGCACACCAGTGCACAAAGCAAGCTGCACAAAGACATGGATGAGCAAGTTTGGGGTGGAGGAACTTGACTGGCCTACATGGAGTCCTGACCTCAAACCGATAGCACACCTTTGGGATGAATTTAAGCAGAGACTGTGAGCCAGGCCTGCTTGTCCGATATTAGTACCTGATCTCACAAATGCGCTTCTGGAGGAATGGTCCAACATTCCCATAGACACACTCCTAAACCTTATGGACAGAAGAGTTGAAGCAGTTATAGCTGTAAAGGGTGGGCCAAATCAATATTCAACCCTACTGACTAAGACTGGGATGCCGTTAAAGTTCATGTGCGTGCAAAGGCAGGTGTCCCAATACTTTTGGCAATATAGTCTAAGTGTTGTTATCCATAATAACCAAAGATTTGAATATCTCTTAAGTACTGATGCACCAGATTTGAATATCTCTTAAGTACTGATGCACCAGTTGTTTTTATAAGAAAATTATTCCTGATACAATAACGGACATATATAAAATTACTTATTTTAGTGAATTGATATAAAATATTAGTGTTAGTGTAGTTTTTATTTTGGTACTTTAAAAAATCAAATGTGTGTTCAATTACATGATATTGGATCATTTTATTTTCAGAAAGGAAAGACTGTAAGCGTGAGCACCGTTCACACTGCGGACAGGAGAATCCCCAGAATGTATTCCACCCTAATGTGACCTGTGATGGATGTGATGGTCCTGTGGTGGGGGAACCGGTACAAGTGCCTGATTTGCCCGGATTATGACCTGTGCAGTACCTGCGAGGGGAAAGGAATCCACAAGGAGCACAACATGATTATGTTCCCTACTCCCATTGTAAGCATTGGCACCCAGTATTGTGTATAGTGTATAGAACAGCCAATAAATTATATGGAAGCCAAAACCAACTTTCATTTAGCCTGTACTTTTTTTTTTTTTAATGTTAATACATCTGCTTCTCATTCTTTTGCTCCCATGCCGATACAATCCTCCTCCAGCTTGTTTAGGTTTATTCTGTAAGTTTCTGACATGCCGAGCAAACTAAAAACTAGTATAGGGATCGTGCACACTCCCAAACGAAAGCTGTTGGGTTTTCCAATTGGCTGGCAACAATCACTGCATTGAGGGAAGGATGAAAGGTTGTCGCATGCTTCCCCACACCCAGAAGAAATGGGTATTTCCTAGGCGCTCTGGTGGAGGAGAGTGGCAGGGGAGTGAACAAAGGGCAAGTAACCTATACCCTTTAGAGTAAAGTGTAGCTGTGTATGGGCGTAATATAGATTAACTTTAAAGTGCTGCATGGAAAGTGAGAGTAGACTTCAGTAGATCAATTTAAAGATGTTGGACACCTTCCTGGCTTTGTAATGTTATATTCAGTGCTGACATGCTGTGAGGGATGCATATTGTGCAGGTCTGCTTTCAGGACTCCAGAGGGGTTTTATTTGGGGGGGGGGGGGGGGTTTCTCAGAGTATTTAGGATTATTCATTCTGTTTTGGATTTTACCAGCCTTTTATACTGTCTCTATCATCCTATATCAGATGCTGATGCAGAAGTTGTTAATCACATATAGTATGTTTCTTAAATATACATTTAAAAAATCCTGTTTTAATATATAATAAGGGGCTGCTGTCTGAAATTTGTACATTTTGCAAATTTGACATGAATGTTTGTTTTTTTTTTTTTTTTTTTTTTTTTTTTTTAGTTACTGTTGCTGATCATATTTGTTTTCTCACCAGCCTTTTCCTCGTGGGCGCTGGTTCCGTAAGATGCATCATGGAGTGCCACCTTTCCCCTGGATGCATGGCTGGGGTTACTCTGGCAGAGGCTTTCACTGCCCAAATTCCCAGCAAGCAGAGTGTAATGAACCACAATGTCAGACTCCACCCGCAGAAGGTAAATATCTATATGAAAAGCTATATATTTTTTTCATATCTGTAACTTCAAAGCAGTAGGAGTTTGTCTAAAGGATTGAAAATTTCATGTATCATTTATTCCCCCTAGGTGCTGCTCCTAATTCTTCTCAGCCACCTCATGATCCTAATGTCACCTTCTTGCAAAATGTTGGTGAAAGTGTGGCAGCCATGTTGAGTCCTCTTGGTAAGTGCCAAGTAAACCTTTTCAAAAGAAAAAAACATGAAGGCTGGCTTTGCTAATCACCTTAACCACTTCCCATGTCATATGACTTACTCGGGTTTCAGTGGAAATATCTGGATGATGCCTGTGGCTACAAGCGTCATTCACATATCTTTTTTTTTTTTTTTTTTTCCAGCCAGCGATTCCCTGCAATGTAAAAGCCATATGGTCCTCGACGGTTTCTATGATCCTGGGAGGGAGGCCGGATGTGATGTCATGTTGTCACTTCCGGCTCTGGCAAATGCAATCACTGCCTTTTTTTTTTTTTTTTTTGCTGGAAAGGAGAGATCGATGTTGTGGGTTTTTTTTTTTTTTTTTTTATCTCTTCTAGCATAGAGAGATATGGGATCTCATAGACTCCAGATCTCTCCATAAAGAGGACCTGTCATGCCTTATTCCTATTACAAGGGATGTTTACATTCCTTGTAATAGGAATAAAAGTGATACAAAAAAAACTAAAGGGAAAGTGTAAAAATTTAAAATAAATTAAGGACATTTTTTTTTAAAAGCGCCTTAGTCCCCTCGTGCTCACACGCAGAAGCAAAAGAATACATAGGCCCTGCCTGCATATGTAAACTGCGTTTGAACCACACATGTGAGGTATCGCCACAATCATTATAGCGAAAGCAATGATTCTAGCACCAGACCTTCTCTGCAACTCTAAACTCTAAGCGTCGCCTATGAAGATTTTTAAGCCCCGTAATTTGTCACCATTTGACGAGTGTACCCAATTTTAAAGCATAACATGTATGGTTTCTATTTACTCCAGTGTAACACCATCTTTTATACTTTACCAAAAATGTGGATTGTATATTGTGTATTTTTGCACTAAAACTCAGTAAAGTTTATTTTTTACAAAAAATTGATGTGCAAATACCATGTGACATAGAAAAATTGCAACAACCACCATTCTATTCTCTAAGATCTCTGCTAAAAAATATATTTAATGTTAGGGGGTTCTGAGTAATTTTCCAGCAAAACAAATTTAGATTTTTATATGCAGGCGAGAAATGCCAGAATTGGCCCAGTATGGAAGTTGTTAAAAGGGGTAGGTGCCAACTTCCCTACCACTCAGTTCAATATCCTATCCCCATCTTACCTACTTCTCCCATGCTCCTGGCACTACACTGCCCCTACATCCAATCACCAAACCTTAAATGATTAAAGCCAGAAGGTCAATTTGGCATCCCATTCTACAATAACTAGTTGCCTGGCTGCTAACACTGGCAGCCTCCACGACTTTTGTAGCTTCAGATAAGACCTATAGCTAACTGCTTCCTGCCTTCTGACCCATACAGGAATCGATGTGGACATTGATGTTGAACATGGTGGTAAACGCAGCAAGATTGCAACCCCACAATCTGGTTCTGAAGCTAGAGATTCCCAACCAAGCAGCTCATCCTTCACTTCAAACCCTCAGAATGGTAACAGCAGAAATGGAGACGAAGAGTGTATGGATACAGATTCCATTGCTAAACGAATGAAAGATGTTTCTCTGAATTCCTCTGTCCAGAATGGAAATGTAAGGGCTCCAAAGATTTTTAAATGGGAATACTTCAACTTGACTGTAAATGATCATCAGTGATGGGGTTATCTGGCAAGTGCCATTTTGGAATACTAACACCATTTAATGAATAGCTTCTCTTGACAGACCGTTTTGCTGCATAACCTATACAACTCACAGACCCTCTGCAAATTGATCAGTTATAATATGTGTAAATTGACTCCACACCCCAGAACTGGTGTTCTTACTCCTAGCAAAGTGCAACCCATAGCCTCTCAAGTATGCCTGTGGACAGTTTGGGGATGATTTACTAAAACTGGAGAGTGCAAAATCTGGTGCAGTGCAGGTAGCTTCTTCTAACTTCAGCTTGTTCAATTAAGCTTTGACAAAAAAAAACTGGAAGCTGATTGGTTCCTGTGCAGAGCTGCGGCAGATTTTGCATGCACACTCCAGTTTTAAACAGTCAACCCCTTTGAATTATAATACTTGGTGTCCTTTGCAAAAAGTAGTAGGTTTCTTGTCCTAATAATGGCAATTGATCCTACCCTGTTTTCTCTATAGCATGTGTAAGATTCCTTAGAATCTATCTGTGCAGAGGGTTTCTTATGTGTGAGAATACCTTTTCAGAATTCACTTTTGTATTAAATGATTGAAATCTGCTCTTATGTTGTACAGGAACAAAGTGAACACAGCAGCAATGCATCAGGTGGTGAAGATGACTGGACTCATGTCTCCTCCAAAGAAGTGGACCCTTCCACTGGTGAGCTACAGTCCCTTCAAGCAGACGCAGAGGGACCCAGTTCTTTAGACCCAAACAGACCCATGCATGCTCCCACAGGTCTCAGAGAAGCTGCTATTTATCCACACCTCCCAGAAGGTAACATTTTATCTTTAAACATTTGTTGTTTAATACATTTTGAGCAAATATAGGTGTAAATAGATCGCTACTGGAAATAGGTCACACGTACAGTGAAGGAAATATGTATTTGATCCCCTGCTGATTTTGAATGTTTGCCCACTCACAAAGAAATGATCAGTCTAAAAATCGAATGGTAGGTGTATTGTAACCCTGAGAGACAGAACAGCAACAAAAAATTCAAAAGAAATGCATGTCTAACAAATTATGCACTGATTTGCATGTTCATGAGGGAAATAAGTATTTGATCCCCTTCACAAAACAGGACTTAGTACTTGGTGGCAAATCCCTTGTTGGCAATCACAGAGGTCAGATGTTTCCTGTAGTTGGCCACCAGGTTTGCACACACCTCAGGAGGGATTTTGGCCCACTCCTCTTGGCAGATCCTCTCCAAGTCATTAAGGTTTGGTGGCTGACGTTTGGCAACTCGAACTTTCAGCTCTCTCCACAGATTTTCAATCAGATTAAGGTCTGGAGACTGGCTAGGCCACTCCACGACCTTAATGTGCTTCTTCTTGAGCCACTCCTTTGTTGCCTTGGCCGTGTGTTTTGGGTCATTGTCATACTGGAACACCCATTCAAGACCCATTTTCAATGCCCTGGCTGAGGGAAGAAGGTTCTCACCCAAGATTTGACGGTACATTGCCCCATCCATCGTCGCTTTAATGCGGTGCAGTTGTCCCCTTAGCAGAAAAACACCCCCAAAGCAGAATGTTTCCACCACCATGTTTGACAGTTGGGATGGTGTTCTTGGGGTCATAGGCAGCATTCCTCCTCCTCCAAACACGGTGAGTTGAGTTGATGCCAAAGAGCTTGATTTTGGTCTCATCTGACCACAACACTTTCAACCAATCCTCCTCTGCATCATTCAGATGTTCAGTGGCAAACTACAGACGGGCCGGGACATGTGCTTTCTTGAACAGAGGGACCTTGCAAGCACTGCAGGATTTCAATCCTTGTCGGCGTAGTGTGTTACCAATTGTTTTCTTGGTGACTGTGGTCTCAGCTGCCTGGAGATCATTGACAAGATCCTCACGTGTAGTTCTGGGATGATTCCTCACTGTTTTCATGATCATTGAAACGCCACGCGGTGAGATCTTGCATGGTGCACCAGACCTAGGGAGACTGGCAGCTGTTTTGTGTTTCTTCCATTTGCGAATAATTGCACCAACTGTTGTCACCTTCTCACCAAGCTGCTTGGCAATAGTTTGGTAGCCCAGTCCAGCCTTGTGTAGGTCTAAAATCTTGTCCCTGACATCCTTGGACAGCTCTTTGGTCTTTGCCATGGTGGAGAGTTTGGAATCTGATTGTTTGATTGTTCCTGTGGACAGGTGTCTTTTATACAGGTAACAAAATGAGATTAGCAGCACTCCCTTTTTAAGAGACGACTTCTAATCTCAGCTTGTTACCTGCATGAAAGACACCTGGTAGCCATAAATCCTGCTGAATGATAGGGGATCAAATACTTATTTCCCTCATGAACATGCAAATCAGTGCATCATTTGTTAGACATGCATTTCTTTTGAATTTTTTGTTGCTATTCTGTCTCTGTGTTACAATATACCTACAATTAGATTTTTAAACTGATCATTTCCTTGTGAGTGGGCAAACATTCAAAATTAGTAGGGGATCAAATACTTATTTCCTTCACTGTATATTGGTCTATGAATTCACAGCTAAGATATTCTGCTTTGAAAATAAACCGTTTCCAACAGGGGGAAGTAAAAATAGAAAATCTAAAAAAATACACCATAATCTACAGTAGTTATTTGTGATGTTAAAAGGTCATTGTAACTAAAGTCATGTAAACATTGCAATGAGTGACTAATTAAACCTCACATTCTCTGGTATGCAAATTACAGCCAGCTACCATAACGGTGTGGTTCCATCTGCATAGATCTATGTTAACCCCTTTACGCCGGCCGTCCCGGCGTCTGGGCCTAGACGCCGAGCGGCCGCACATTTGCGTTCATGTAACAAAAAACATGTGCTAAGAGCGAGCGCCCTCCACGCTCCGAGCACACGTGCGGTACTCACGGAAAGGTCCCGGTCCGCTCTTTCGATCGGGACCTTTCCCGATCATGTGACCTCCGTGACGACGCATCACGGCGGTCACATGATCCTTAAACCACGCCCCGCCTCCCGGCGTCTGAAACTCAAAGGGCCGGGAGGCGTCGGCGGGAAGGGGTTAATCAGTGAGGCTGTAGGTTGCAGTGATGGGACAATAACCATGCACAGAGTGGGTATTGATCAACTGCTGGAAAATCCCCTGTCATATAGTCTGCAGTGCTGATCGGTCTATTCCACTGTCAGAATACAGTGACACAGAGGGTGGAATCCCCCATCCGCCTTGAATGTGTGGCTGGGGAATTTTGGGACAGGTGTTTGTTTTTAATTCAACCTACTGGTTGAACAAAAACTGACAGCCAGCTTAGAAGATGCAACACTTTTTGTTGGCAAACTTGCTTGTGCCTGTTCTCTGAGTGAAATTTATTGAAGCCAGGCACAAGCAAGCGGCTAACCCTTTCAGATGTCCGATAATGTGAGCCCTTGTACTTTCCTATGACAGCTGTGCTTTTTAAACGAACAAAGATTATAGTGTCTGCATTTCAGAATGCTTACTTTCCTTAAAGAATTGATGTAGAAGTCTGTTCTGGGTATACAGAACTATAAAGTAGACCTGTAACCACAAACATGATGAATTCAAACTGGGTATAAAATGAAAACATGAGGTTACCTTGAGTGAAAATGGTATGGTAAAATGATCAGTGGATTCAGAAATACAAACATTTGGAATCTGAAAATCTCAACTTTAAGGCCTCGTGTACATTGGACGTTTTGTTTAACTCTCTTAGAAGACTCCTCCTGGTAGCAGCGTTTTGGCCAAAAAAAGCCTGCTGATTGTAAAAGTGTGCAATATTTTTGCTGCGTTTACCTGCGTCAAGCTTTTGGGTGTTAATTTATTCTGGCCAATTAAATAACTTATTAACTAGTGTAAATGCGCGTTTGTACGTGTCAAACAAATATATTTTTTCTGTCAAAACTCTGCTGCTACTGGACACTTTGGCAGTGTTTTTTTTTTTCCAGCCTCTAGCCGCCAAAGGTTTTTGTGTATGTGCACACTTAGGTTAACATGCAGGGGCAGGGAAAAAAAAAAGCCAGATGTCCCTAAGAACAGCTGAAAAGACGTCCAGTACGCATGAGGCGTAATTGTGGTTATATGTGGCTTTTGGTGGAGGTTGTTTTTTGCTTTGTTGTTTTTGTTTTTTTTTTTTCGTTTGTATTAACAGCTTTTTTTTCTTATTGTCTTGCAGAAGCAGATCCTAGACTCATTGAAACACTATCACAAATGCTGTCCATGGGTTTCACAGACGAGGGAGGCTGGCTTGCCAGGCTCCTGGAAGCAAAACAATATGACATTGGGTCGGCTCTTGATGCCATGCAGTCTGTGCGGCATCTTCCACGCTAACAGCACCAGAACTCTTCTGTTTCTATCATAACTCTGCCTTTCTTATGTTGCTATAATATATATATATATATATATATATAAGACTGACATTCATACCACAGCTCTTAATACTGTTTAATCTTTTGTTAAAAGTGTACCAGATGGTGGCGACAATCACTTGCCGTCAGATCGTTATTTCAAAGATTGCAGTTTGAAAGTAAAGCTGGCCATAGCTGGATCGATTCTCTTTCCTGCAACCGACTGGGTTGATAGGGGAATCCTCTCCGTGGAATCTTTGTGTTCTTCTGGGGGATGATGGGGAGGAGGTTATTGCTAGTGGCTATTATACCCGCCAGCAGCATTCGCATGCAAAATCTTACAGGCTGGTTGTATTCAAGTTGATCGATCAACCTGCCCATACATGTTTCGAATCTCGGCTGGTACCTGTCACTTATGGCCAGCTTAAGTTCAGTGGTTTCACTGTTCTTTTGACAGTTCTGAAAACAGTGATGTCACTGGCTTGTGCCAGGTTGATTGCCTACTTATTTCTGCCCAAAGGCCTCAATCTGAAAGCAACACTTTACAGCTTTGAGTTTAAAGGAAGTTGTTATTTGGTATTCATCAGCTGTAAAGCCATTCCCAGCAAAAACTACCAGCGATGAGCAGTGAATTACAGCTTGCCACACAAAGTAACTTTTTTACTGGTCAACCTAAACTGTAGTACTGTTTTGGTTAAAGCCCATTTTCATGGGCTGTCAAGGCCCCATTTAAAATTAAAAAAATAAATAAATATTGCTTTTGCTGTAGTACTACTCCCTGTCCTGTGCTGTCACCAGACTTGCCACTGCAAGGGCATTCACTGGTCTTCCAGATTGTTTTTTTTTTTTCTTGTTTTATTTTGTTCTTAAAAGATAAAACCAGTGCTAAGGGATTCCTGTGGATAACCATGCATGCTGAGCTGATTCTAATGTGCATGTTTATGCCACAAATATTTGGTGGCTGAATCTTCTCACCTGAAACCGAGATACAATGTTAGTCTTTCAGCATTTATGACATTTGTTTAACTGATATTTAAAAGCAGATCTGTGAAATGGCTGACCTTGAAAATAGTTTTTTTTAAGCTAACTCATGAAAATACAGATCTTCTGCTCCCAATAGAAATTAACAGAATTCTGCTTAAAATTCAAGTATGCTTAAGAGCAAAGTCTGAATATTTTCCATTGGGCACAATGAATGCTTTGACAGCCAGCAGCAGCATATGGGAGCAAAACAGATAATCCTGACTGCAAAGCTGGTGATTTTACAGACCTGCCTTTACTATCAGATCTTACAGAATGGTAGAGTTATGCTAGAAACAGGCTATTGGAAATGTTTTTATTTGATTGCCTTATACTGCACTGTAACAAAGTGATTTTTGGTTTCTTACTTTTTAATAAACACGTCCTTATTGCTCACTTACTATGCAGAAATATTCACCCTGATGTATTCAATGTGTTAGCATATTCAAGTAGCTTCATTACACTGTTATGCCTCTAGAGTCATGAGAAAATGGCAGTACTAATTTGTTGAGGTTCTATTTGTAAGGGAATAATTTTGGTGTTCTGTAACAGTCTAATTGTGACATTACATCTTCTGCAATTAAAGTTCCTTCAGAGCATTACACACGGCTAGCATGTTTTATTTCTATAGCTGACTGTTCCTTTCTGCCAATGGATATTAAAGCCAGACTGTAAACACAAGGTATATAAGTTGGAAGTTTACTTTTGTACTCTGTTACTCAGTAAACAAGTCCCACCAGATTTTGGAAGCTGTTGCTACTTAGTCACTGAGGGCCCTTGCACCAAGCTGCTATGAAGCAAATACAGGTTTACTCTTACAGTACAGGACACAGGGCTTGTATTCATAGACCATGGCTTATATATGCAGGCTACCTTTAGGTGATTGGACACTGGCCAAAAAAACCTGCTAGGGCTGTCCCTAGTGCTCACTCTTATAACCCCACCCTTTCTATGAGACTTGTATTTTGCTAGTGTTCTGAGGTGATGGAACTATTCTCCTTTTTTTGAAGTTTTCTTTATTATAAACTTTCTCTTCTGACATCTATCAAGATCTGACTGCTTATTGCCATGGGCTATATAGCAGTTTACGGACCTGTAATCCTCTATTTTATACCTTGGACACCATATCCAACCTCAATGTGTGGGCCTGGCCTGTAATATTTGCTTTGGTCACTGGATCCTGCATTTCAGCAATCGGCTTGGGATGAAATCCTGAAATGCCAGGATAGTAGAAGCAACACCTCCAAATGATCCCTTTTTGGAAAGTAGACACTCCAAGGTATTTGCTAAGAGGCACGGTGAGTATTTTGCAGATCTCATTTGTTGCCACGTTTTTGAAAATGAAGAATGAAAACAAAAATGTATTTTTTTCTTTTTCAAAACCCTGTTATCTTGATGATATCTTTAAAATACTCACCATGCCTCTTATCAAATTCCTTGTGGTGTCTACTTTCCAAAAAGGGGTGATTTCTTGTTTATACTGTCCTGGCATTTTAGGGCCTCTGAAACTGTGAATAGGTAGTGGGGAAGTGATATGAGGAAATACAGTTAGGTCCATATATATATATGTGTGTGTATGTGTGTGTATATATATATATATATATATATATATATATTTATTTATTTATTTATTTGGACACAGGCACAATTTTAGGTTTTTTTTCAGGTATTTACCAAAACATATTTAAGCTATAGTTATATAATGGAAATGGGTTGAAAGTGCACACTCTTGGGTCTAATGTGAGGGTATGTACATCCAAATTGGAGGAAGGATTTAGGAATTACAGCTCTTAAGAGTAGCCATCCCCCCTTTTTCAAGGGACCAAAAGTAATTGGACAATTGAATCAAAAGCGGTTTCATGGCCAGGTGTGGGCTACTCCTTCGTTATTTCTTCATCAATTAAGCAGGTAAAAGGTCTGGAGTTGATTCTAAGTGTGGTATTTGGAATCTATTGTTGTGAACCTACATCATGCTTTGAAAGGAGCTGTCCCTGCAACTGAAATAGGCCATTGTAAGGCTTCAAAAACTAAACAAATCCATCAGAGAGATAGTAGCAACATTAGGAGTGGCCGAATCAACAGTTCAGTACATTCTGAGGAAAGAACGCACTGGTGAGCTCAGCAACATATAAAGGTATGGACATCCATGGAAGACAACGGTGGTGGATGATCGCAGAATCCTCTCTATGGTACAGAAAAACCCATTCACAACATCCAGACAACTGAAGGACACTCTCCAGGAGGTGGACGTATCATTGTCAAAGTCTACAATCAATAGAAGACTTCATGAGAGCAAATACAGAGGGTTTCACCATATTTAAAAAATTTGTGGCAAAAAATAAAATGTTCTATGGACTCAACATGCCTGTGCAATATCCTTGGGGTGTCTACTTTCCAAAAAGGGGTCATTTGGGGAAGGGGGGGGGTTGTACTGCCCTGGCATTTTAGCACCTCAAGAAATGTGTAATCGGAAAGTAAAAGCTACATAAATTCCTATATATATATATATATATATATATATATATATATATATATACACACACATACACCATAGTTTGTAGACGCTGTAACTTTCACACAAACCAATTAATACACATGTATTGAGATTTTTTTTTTTTTTTACCAAAGATGTAGAAAGATACATTTTGCCCTAAATTTATTAATTTAATTAAGTTTATTGGATATTTTTTTATAACCAAAAGTGGAAAATATCTTTTTTTCCTTTCACAATTTTCGGTCTTTTGTTTATAGCGCAAATACCCACCAAAGAAAGCTTGTGTGAAAAAAAGGACATACATTTTGTTTGGGTACAGCATTGCATGACCGGCACTTCAATAACTGGTAATTGCATGAACAGCAAAAAATGGCTTGGTCATGAAGGGAGGGCAATCCTCTGGAGGGCAAGTGGTTAAAGAAATGTCTGTGGGTAAATTTAACTCAACCACATCTTTGTTATGGTCAAGTAGGCCAGTTTTTGTGCTGCTCGGATGAAACAGGGCAAAGATTGACAGTAGGTGATTTGTGGTCTCTGTCTCTTAGGCCTACAGCGAAGGTCGATCGCGGTCTACCTGTCAACTGCCCAAATGAACTTTACATATTAACCTGCAGGTGATTGGTTGCTAAAAGTTAGCATCTCCTCTTCGTCCTCCACCAGCGTACAGCTGCTGCAGGAGGAAAAGCCAGGGGATCAGTTCTAGTAAACGCCTCCCCTACTGCCCCTCCTGTCCTTGTTTCTCCTTTTTTCTGCTGCCTGGCCCCTCTCCCAAGTGTTCCCTTTCAACAGGGCTCCCAAAGAAATTGTGAAAAGTATTAAAAAAAATAAAAATGTAAAAATAAAAACTACTGACACTATCCACTGCCCTACTGACACCAACCTCTACCCTACTGACACCAACTTCTGCCCTACTGACACGGTCCACTGGCCTACGGGACTGACACTTGATTTTTAAGGTAAGCCAAGTTTGTATTTTTACAGTGGCATTTGTTTTATTATATTTTTCTACATTTTCCTTGCTATTTAGTTAGGCCTTGCTAGTTAATTTTTTTTTTTTTTTAAAACGGCGCAGTGATCTTTGATTTCTTTCAAGTTGTTCAGGTAGATCTCCACCTCTCAAAGGTTGCCTACCCATGCGCGAAAAGCAGTTTTTAGCTCAAGGCTAGGGGTACTACCTGTGGATTCTAATAAGAGTATCAAAATACTCATAGGAACATAAGATAGAAATATTGTAGCGGCCATTTGGCACTCTACAAATTGATGCAAACTCTTATTTCATAAAACTGGGGGTGCACGTAACGTAGCAGTTATTTCTGTCTTTTTTTTTTTTTTTCAGAAATTGATGCAAACTCCTGTATTTAAAATGTCTTTACATTCCTGTTAAAATGTCAAGTTTCTGTGATGTACAAAAATTAGACAAAGAAATAATTTCAGAACCTTTTCCACCTTTAATGTAACCTATAAACTTT